TTGAATATCGTTTCCATGTACTACTCTTCTGTATACGACATTTTTGCATAGACGACCTACTAAAGAAGGAAACGCTTGATTAAGAAAATATTTTAGGAATAAGTTCTCTGATTGAGATACAGTCTTTTAGACATAATGTGGACAAAATTTAAGATTTTGAATTGAGGACAACGTTATTCTATTATGCATTTTAGGCTTGGTGCTCCGACTGTTTCTTTTCTTATTCACATTATATATAGTGTGTGGTCACGTTGCAATGTACGGTACATATATATAACATAATATATTAAGACTGTTGTCTGCGTAGAGCTATTATATAGAGGTTACATTAATAACGTTCCTACACACTATATATAACGTGAATAAGAAAAGAAAATCGCTATTTATCACAGCTCTACTAATAAAATTACAGATAAGAAATGGAAAAGAATTGAAGAGTTCCTCAAACTAAATCTGTGAAGATCTAATAGATCTAATCTGCTAGTATCTAATTTAATCCGTCCCAATACCTCGACGAATGGTATAAAGCACAACAATATTGATAGTTTCTATTAAAGTTAAACAATCTTACTGTTCCTGTTAGCAGAGCATACAAAATCACTCCACAACTCCAGATATCGACTTCCGGACCAGCATATAGTCTAAATAAAGAAAAATCAAAGTTGATTATATATTGAACTCTTCTACGTTTCGATGATAAACCTTACTCTCCAGAAACAACTTCAGGTGCAGCATAATTCGGTGATCCACAACTTGTTTTTAATAATTCACCATCTTTCATCATGTTCGATAAACCAAAATCAGCTATTTTAACGTGTGAAGCATCATCCAATAATAGATTTTCAGGTTTTAAATCACGATGAACCTACAAAAGAGAGAAAAGATAGGAATTACAATAATCTATCTTAAAATCAAAGTGAAATATTCACAATCATATGTCGATGACAATAATCAACACCGGATATTATTTGTTGAAAAAATGGACGTGCTTCAGCTTCGGTTAACTGAAATTAGACAAATATAAATAAACAACCACTTATCAATTAATTATAGAATTGTATGTTCTTGACGAGAGATTAAGACATTTGAAACAATTTATTCTTACTTTTCCTTTTTTAACAATATAATCAAATAATTCTCCACCGGCTACATATTCCATAACCATAAAGATATCAGTTGGTGTACTTATTACTTGATATCTGGAAAAAACAGCAGAAAGTGTAGAAAACACGAAACCAGTCGCGATACCGAATCTTACAAAAACACCGGTAGCGTCAGCTTTTTTCTATCAGATTGTCGGCGATTAGAACGCCTTATTAGAAGCGGTTGTTGCGGTACGTACTCTAGGTCAGTTCAAAGCGAAGCTGAAAAATCATTTGCAACTTTAAGGCATTTTCTGTGGATTTGTTTCTATGTCTGTACTCTATTCTATAAAAGCGTATATATACCCACAGAATCTTTTTACCGTATTTATCGCATTATAATGCGTTAGGCATATCGTAATCCCTTGTAATATGTTAGCTTTTCTATTGTGTTATAAATTTAGAAAAAACATGTTTTTAATGCATTAGCGTAACGCGTTACGTGTCCAAAACTTGAAATTATAGTATTATAATGCATTTTTATCAACAACTTTCTCATATTTTTATAATGTTACAACGCTATAAATTCGACTAGTGCGTTAATAGTTACAAGACGTTACTAAATTCCTATCGCATTAATCTGTAACGCATTGCAACGCGTTATAGGTTAATGTATTATGTTTCTATAATATCTAACACATTATAGCGTTATAAATCTATGGCATTACAACGCATTAACTTTTCAGGCGCGGTAACGCTATATGCGACAGTGGTAATAAGTGTGCTGTGGGAGTTTATGTCCTAAATCTCAAGTCAGTAACGTATATGTCTGATATAGTTGAAGTCATTTTCCTCGGACCAACTTTTCGAGAAGAATCGATTAGCAGTCTCAGAATTTTACGGAAATATGTCTTTTAAGAGAAAACCATGTATTTTCGTCTTCGATACTGTCTAACCCATTGTAACGCATTAATACCTATCGCGTTACACCGAGTTCCATTTTCTTATCTCATTGCAATGAGATAGAAAAGAATAATGCATTGGAATCTATTAGATATTAACTCGCTACAATACGATATGCATTATCTAATGAGCTATAACGCTATAAAAGATTTTTTTCAATCTATAGCGTTGTAATACTATAATTTAAGAAAAAGCATGTGTTATAGCGTTATACCGCTATAAATAGGGAAAAAAAGATCCTGTGGGTAGGTATACGCGTGTCTTCTCCCTCTTGTGGTATTACTCCAGTTGGCAGTATGTATAAGTACAAGGTTTTTACTTTTTCTGCTTTCCTATAGCAGCTCTTTTTTTTGTAAAGTTAGCTTTGTTTGTAAAATAAAATCAAGTTCAAGAAATAGTATTTACGCATACAATACTTACAGTTTAATAATATGTGGATGTCGAAATAATCTTAAGTTTTGTATTTCTCGTCGAATTTTTCCTACAACATCTAATTGTTTTATTTTACCGCGATTAACAATTTTAATAGCAACCGTATGACGGGTTAACTGATGATATGCTTCTAGAAAAAGAAGGCAAAAGAATAATTCTTGATAGTTAACGAGTTGTAACACTTACTTTTAACTTTTCCAAAACTACCTGTACCGAGCGTTTCACTAAGAATATAATGTCCTATTTTTATTAGACCAGCATCCGTTTGATTCAGTGGAATTTCTTTCTTCTTTCGTTTATATTTATCCTAAATGAGGTAGATACACTATTAGCGAGAATCAGTATTAATAGAGTAAAGTTTAATGATAAAGAGATTAGAATTTGATAATAAAATGTGTCAAAGCACATTTGTAACAACTTCTACAAACTTAAGCTTTCCTCTTAACTTATCATCACATTCCATTATCGAGCATTGTGAAACATTTATACATACCAGTACAGATGTCATTGCTTGAATAACTCAGTAGAAAAGGTAAGAAAACTATAAAATCTACAAAGAAGTTAATTTGAAGATCAACGGCGCACCAGACACAACTCGATATGGTCAAGCTTCGATACTTGTGAATTGTTGTACAAAAGAACCTCGAATATAGTATAACTATAATGGTAAGTTGTGAAGTGAAAAACGCAAGAACATCATAGAATAAGATGAGGAACGGTGTTACGTGAAAAATAATTGTAGAAATATTTCTATACGCTATGTTTGTTATTTCTGCAAAAAAAATAAAAAGAATGCCTATCGAGGCTCGCAAACGTTTAAACGGGGAAAAATTACGCAGTTCTGAATTAACCAAATACTACGGATGATTAACCACACGTTCTATTAGCTAAAAATACTACCAGTCAGCTTTTTGTCCCTGTCCTCTCAAGTCTTAGGTCATGTATAAACATATCACAATAAACCTTCAAACTTAACGGGTGCTTTCTGTACTGAACACCTGATAAGTAAAGATTAATGAATAAAATGATAAAGTTTTCGTAGATGGCAGAAGTGACTAAAATGGACAACAACTCATCTACACACAGAATAAGAAGTGTTTTCCTCCACTATATAAGATCTTTCAGCAGGTGACTTTATTGTTATGAACTAGAACTTGAACTGTAGATCGCACTCGCCCATTCATTACTGTAGATGTCCTCTTCGCTTGTTTTTAAATTTTTCTACATTTCAAAGTAAAATATTATATGTTAAAAGCGTATTAATATGTTAAGTTCTCTGTACCTTTCTTTATAAAAAAGAATGTGTATAGGGAAAGAAGAGATTTCTCAATTTAAGAACCTAAGGCTTGTCAGTTTTCTGTGGAAGCAATGTAAAAAACTACGAATATCATACAGTACTGGAAAAAATTATAGAGCCATTGTATTTTTGAAATTTTTCGATAAAGCCGAATGGCTAGGTGGAATCTGAATAGTGATTTGGATAGCCGTTGAAGTTCTCTATCAAATGTATTATGTGTCAAAATTCCAGAAAAAAGGTTTTGAAGAAAGTTTTCTAGAAAAACCCTCCAGCGTAGCTATAAGTCCTATAGAGTTTTACTGAAAATATTTTCAATATAGTTATTTAAAAGAGCATAAGATTCTGAAAAAATGAAGCGTCGCACAGCTCTCGACGATCTTTCGTTGAAAAGTTACAGGCATCGGAAAATCCAAAATAGTATAATTTACGAAAAACAAGTTTAACGAAAGTTTAACTTGTTTTTTAGCCGAGTTTTAGCGTGTTTTTCGTAAATTATACTATTTTGGATTTTCCGATGCCTGTAACTTTTCAACGAAAGATCGTCGAGAGCTGTGCGACGCTTCATGTTTTCAGAATTCTATGCTCTTCTAGATAACTATATCGAAAATACTTTTAGCAAAATTCACTTAGAGCTCCGCTGGAAGGGTTTTCTAGAAAACTTTCTTCAAAACCTTTTTTCTGGAATTTTGACGCATACTACATTTGGTAGAGAACTTCAACGGCTATCCAAATCACTATTCAGGTTCCACCTAGCCACTCAATACAGTGGCTCTATAATTTTCCAGTACTGTATATCACAAAAGAAGGGCTATCTCGAGGTATGGTTGAATATTGGGAACTGTATGAGAATTCTAGAGAATTTAACACATCAAAAAATCATCTTACGTAAATTTTAGTGAGCAATCGCGTTATGAGAATAAATTAATAATTTTTTCTTTCAGAATCTAGACTTCTTAGAGCCCGAAGAGTTCAAATCGAGCTCGCGCGAATTAATAGTTATGGTATACATCGAATTTTCAATGAAAAAATGGGAAAATAACTCAAAAATATGAACTCGGCTCAGTTTTAGCTACACGTTTATTAATATACCCCCTAGTTAATTTACTGATTCCAATGCTTCTGAAGAGGAACTCTCCTATTAGTAGTGTCAGAATTAGTTAAGAAAATTAGATACTTTAAAGTACTTTTTAGTTATGCATTCAAGTACCCTGTTTAAGTATTTTTCGTTGTTGGAATATTGAAAGTATTTAGTACTTACTTTTGGTACCGTGATAACCGATTTTCACATATTTAAGATGATTTTTCACATTTTTTCTGAATAGACTGTCTGCCAATGCCTACTATTCTACTTTTGTATTTGTGACATATCGTGACATACCTGACATATATTGCTCTTTTCAGAATTTATCCTTAATTATAATCTTTTTCTGTAATTTATTCTGTTTCTTCATCGTTTCGATTTTTGGACCATTTCTAGTGAATGTATTTGATTACGGGTACCTAAGAACGTTGGCTGACGCAAGCCAAGTATGTCTAAGTACCTATGACATTACTTGGATGGGTACCTAAAATTACTTGTTAGACACTTTAATACTTGGCAGAGGCTAGCAGAGATACTTAAAAAAATACTTGAAAGGTACCTAAATACTTTTGCTTGGGAAAGTCAAGTATCCTATGACATTAGTATAGCCCATGGTATCCAATAAGTACCCTATTTTTACACATTCACCAAGGATACCAGTGGCTTTTTCTGCATTTGAAAAAAACGTGTTCACGCGCGCTTCACGTCATAATCGAGAACATAAAAAAGCTTTCAAACATGTTACTAACCAGTAAACAAGTTATAAATGATGAATTCTCTAACGAATGTACTTGTGTAAGTGTTTGAGCAAGTAACGTCCAGCGTACTTAGATATTTTGAACGTAAAAGAAATACTTGCTACGTGAATTTAAGAAATGCGAGCACTCCATAAAGTACTACACAAGTTTTATATGAAACCTTGGGATACTTATAAATTTTCATTAGTATTTCATTTTGAGCAAATACTCGTAAATTTGACTTGCTCTATCTTTTGGCTTTAGGGAATAAATCTATGTTTAAAATGATCAATAAGGAGAAAAACCGATGGATGCCCCAAAAAAGAAAAATATTGGGAGAGAAATGTTTTTAGATATTCTAACCTCCATTCCTGTCATTAACATTACTTAAATTATATATTTTTCTAAATTCTTACACTTTTCTGTAACGGAAGGATGCCGGTCTATAAGCAATGGACCACTAAAGCCTTGATACTTGTCAAGTAACATAAAAGAAATAACAGAATGAAATAATCTGATTAGGCCCTTGAAAATGCACTTATTAATTGATATATGTTCGAAAGGGTTCATAATCGTCCTATGTCAAAAAATTCACTAGACTTTTTATTACTTAAAAACGCAAAAATGATGATCCGCTGTTTTGCCAAAATCTATAATAAAACGTGCATTAGTACTCGAATATGGTACTGATGAACGTAGAATAAAAGCGTTTTATATTTGTTTTTATTAATTATATTATATAATCTATAACGTGTTTCAAGACGCGTTTTTCTATTCAAAAATTTATATATATATAAATATATTTGAATAAGTAGGATCTCTAAGTACCAAATATAGAGCGTCAAATAGGAGTTAAGTGTCAAAAAATCAGCTCATTCTTATACTCACTTTTCTCTAATATATTTTTTATATGTATACAGGATGAAGTAGCTGATTACTCTTCTAAAGTTCAAGTTCTATTGGAAATTCTGTTTTTAAAAAGGCATTGAGCTTCGACTGACCTAAAAAATAATCAATATCAAGTAAATATTGATTTGAGATCTACTATAATACCGTATACAAATTATAACAATTTTACCATCATATTCGTTGATCTTATTCATAGTACTATATTCGTTTACACAGGATATTCGTTTTTACGATAAAGTTGATGTGAATGTGGCACGATTCCAATGGAATAGCACTCAGTCGTCAAGAGCAAAGAGCAGTCGTAATACGACTCAATTTTACTTTTAATAGTAAGGACGCATAATCTGCACAACTACGGAACATATTTCAATGAGTTATAAATTGTTTTATTCAAAAACATATCATTTTTTATAATACGTTAACCGATCTTTTAAAAATAATAGCTGAAATAGTCATAGTTCTTTTAAAATGTACTTGTTAGTTCCAGTATTTGACGCTTATCACCACCGTTTTGTGTAACTCCTCCTTTGAATTACTTTGAAAGAGGAAGAACAAGAAGTGAAAGTTTGTACAGGGAGATTATGCTGGAAATCTGCAAATTTTATTCATCCCATACCTGTCCCTAACGCTTGCGAAGGTACGCGACCCACGGACAATATTGAACAAGCTAACGCCGGCAAACAAATGCGGACAAGCTAAATGTAAACGTACACACTCGAGGCATGGATTTCATACAGCCCCACCTTAGTCCTTCACGTTTGAATGGAGCACTTACAGTTTAGACTCAGGGTCTACGCTGATAAGCTTTTTTACCAGATAGGAATGAAAATGGATTCTGCTACAATTGCACAGTTTATATAAAATTCGTTGAAAAAAATAATGCTGTCCTTATGATGTGTACGTATGCATTTAACATCGTATGATATTGTCTATAATTATTTCTAAACTAAAAAAGATATTTATTTTTTGATACCAGGTTACATGCTTGAAAAATTCTCTCTTCAATTCATCTTAATGTTAACTGATCACATTGAGATTAACTAGAAAAGTATTTTCATTAAGAAAGTTTAAAAATTTTCATGTGAATGTTCTAAAAGGTTTATAAATCATATTTAATCTTTGTATAGTATAGCACAAGAGTGATAATTCTGTCAATATTTTATTGTACTCTATGCGCATATCTTAAAATGCATTCCTAAGAATTTAGTTCTAATGTATTGCATTCAGTCATATAAAATGTGCAGATCTTTCTCTTCAAATAAAAGTATTTATTAGCTCTCGTTCACTATCTTTTATAATAATTTCCCTAATGTTTTTTTTTTCTTCTGCATAAAATCAGAGAAACAGAAATTTTTTGGTTCTGTTCTTTTCTAGTATGGAATTTTTCTTCTTTTTTTTTTTTTTATGATTATCAAAACAGTCACGCAGATATTCTCAATGTTAATAACAGAAGTGAAAATATTCATCGCACGACCATGAAGTTAGGCATAGAGAGTAGGATATGATAGTAATATCTTTTACTCAATAAATAAATAGTTTTTTTACTCTCCACGTATGAGTAAGATAAAAGATTTTTAAATATTATACATTATCTATCCATAGGGATATTTCTATTAAAAACCTTCAACATATTTACAACTGAACTGTTGAAACTACCATAATGATTTGAAAAACTTTGTAATATTATTTTTCGATTTTAGATTCTATAATGTCGATTAGTGTTGATAACCAATATGAAAAATTATTTTTACGTATATTTTTAACAATTTATTATTTATTAGTATTAATAATTATTATACTTAATCTTACACTTGGCTTTTTTCAATTATCAAAAGAATATTCGGCTGTTATTTATGTACTGAGTATTATCTGGTTTATTGGAATTTGTCTAGCTATATTTGCAACATGGGCAAATAAAATTAGTTTATTAATTTTAGTCGGTATTTTTCTAATTTTATCGTTAATTTTAATAATTATTCGTCTTATATTCATTTTGGCTATTTATTCTTATACAAAAACTGAAATTAAAACATTTTCAAGTCCATTTGTTGATCAAATTCTTATCTTACTTATAAGTATTTCATTAACTACATCTGTACTATTGGCAACATGTCGATTAATTGCATTACATAAAACAATACAATCGAAAAAACGTGTATCAACACAAACGGAAGAAGAATATTGGGCTAAAATGACATATTTTTAAGGAACAAAAAAAAACAAAAAAATCTATTTTAGATATTGAAAATCAAAACAAAAAAATAAGTTTAATAAACAATAGTCTTTTTATTTATTTTTCATTTAAATAGCATAATATAATTTTATTGCTCAATTTATAATAATTTTTTAAAAGATATTTAACAGAAAAAGAAAACATTAATATCAATTCATCTTTAGTCTATTTAATAGGTTATAGAATTTGAGCTTTTAACCATTTTAGCATATATGACAGCCATGAAACTAAATTCTATCTAAGTTTACATATATCTAAACGTCTGAACAAAATAGTTTTTCCTTTCTGTGAGATGTGTCTATGTTACTGTAATGTTCATATTAGTCTAGTTGACGTTTTCTTTTGAGATATAGTAAAAGGCATAAATAGTTCTCACTGCCTTGAGTCTTGTTTCAGATAGCCTCATGTGTTCAAAATAAATAGTGCATTTAAAAAGTTATTACAAATATTAATCATAACCGTGAATTATAATTCCCATCATCTGCAATTATACAATGATCAAATACGACTTTTTTTTTTTCTAATATATACTCGTTTCGCTATTTAACTCTCTAGTCTTGTATTTCATTTAAATGTTTGTTAGAAGATCAACAATTTATACATTGTTATGTCGCTCTTATATCTTAGTTTGATCAAAATTTTATGACGTTAAAATCAGACAGTTTGAAAACAACTTCTTCATGACTTTTTTGAGGACTTCATTTTTCAGAAAGTTTATAAATCAAAATTTGTGTCAAACCCATTTTCTCAAATCTAATCTACATTTTGAGTTAAAGCTCAAGGTTTACATCTAAGAACATGAAATTCTCTGTTGTTGACGATATCACTGTTGTCAACTTTTTAACTTCATAAAAAACACTACAAAATGTCGAACTTTTTACCGTTAACTAGTCGCATATAAGTCTACACTTGTTAGACTCTATAGCAATGGTCAGTTCTGTATTTCACTCAATGTTTTGCAATTTTTTTAATTTCGAAATAATGGTGTAGACTATGCAAGAAAAGCAATTTTACCAAGACTGATTCGATCTGGTGTACTATATTCATCAATTCTGCCTCTGAGCTATTTCTTGATCAGTTCAGACCGAAAGCTTCGGATAATTGCCTAATATAAATGGTACGACAGCATGAGAAAAAACAAAACTTTGATAATAACTGGAAGACACCTGCGTAACCCTTCTCTTGTATATAACAGGATCATAAAATTTGCTTTGGGAGTCAAGAAAAATGAAAGTTTGTTTATTAATATGAAAACGCAACAAAACCATACTCACCTTCAATATGCTGCTTCTATCCTCTATGAGTTATATATGAGGTGCAAATCTATATACATGGCTTGCTAGAGAAAACTTATTCTATCCGAAAACATTTCACTTTCATAAGTAAATATGAATAAGATTTAGCATGTATTAACTCAATTAGGTCTTATTAGGCTTATTATCAATTGGGTATGAAACTAGATAAAAGTTTGACTAACTAGATGCATTTATTTTATCAAAAATTCGAGCACAAAACATTAGTAAGTAGCAAATTTCATCCCTAAAAAAGAATTAATTATAGAATAGGGCGTATAATTCATACATGTCAGTCCCTAAATTCTTCTATAAACATTCTGACTGAGCAATTGTTTTTGCATACAAAAATGCTACACGATCATTGTTGAAGTTACTGAATCATTTTAGTATAATTTTATTTATTATAAATGGTTCATGCTAAACACAAGTGAAACAGCATAATTTTCAAATAAAACTAACAAAAAGATGATCATGTTTGTAAATCATTTTGTATTGCTCAAGATTATCAATCAAATGTTATTATTTATACTCTTGAAATTGGTTCACTATTTATTTCTGCTGTTGTTGATATAATTCTAATTTCATTTTCAGACTTATTACCGATTTTTTGCTTTTCATTATGGACAACTTTAAATGATACATCGTCAGATGCTCGTTGAACTGGTGTTGACAAATTAGAATGACAATTAGTATTTTTCTAGAATAACAAGAACAACAACTTACTTTCAAAACAGTTTACTCAACGATTCATTGTTTACCTTTCTCCATACTTCAAATACACAGGCGAATAACACAGCAATCACAATCAAAGCAAAAACAACGCATATTATAGTAATAAAGAGCATGACTAAAACAAAAAGAATATATTTGATATATTAAGATAGCCACACAAATGAGGATGAAACTTATTGCTATATCTAGATGATTTTTACTAATCTGTAGCAAGATGAAATAGAATGACAGTGTCATTAATTTTGTTAATCATCTATTATACCATTTGCAATCATTTGAACAATTCTTACCGTTGTTTGAATGATCATAAACTCTAGATGAATATTCTAACTTTTTTAATCACCAAAAAGGTTACAAAATCAAATTTTCTTACACTCACTAATCGTTTAGTAGTATCCTATTCTTCACACAACTATTTAATATCGCTGCGAAAAAAAGTATTACGCATTTTCCTTTGCTTTCTTTATGTTTCTTGAAAGCACGTACTTTAAAGAAAAAATGTTTTCTAAGAACATACTCTGATACAAGTATGTCTCGCTCTTCCTCGGAAAAATAAATAATGCTAGTATTATGTCAGAATAGGAGGAAAAAACGAGATGTACTGAACCCATACATACTATTCTCTTTGCTGTGAGCATCGACGAAAAGGTCAAGCAGCGATGTACAAAGAGTCGAAGCGTGTTGTTAGAACACGAAAAGCTATCCTACGAGGGAACCTTCCCAAGTATCCACCGGCGTCTCCAATAATATCAGACCTATGACAGAGAATATTGTTCTAAGAAAAAGCCTAAAAGGATTTATGCCCATATGATTTCTTTTAACAGCTTTATATATTTTTGTTTGCTTATAGAGCAATTGAAAACTGTCCGCACTTTATTCGCTTCGATTCAAGCCGGGAGACCGTGATATTCGGATGAAATATGTTGAAAAGCGGTCGGTATTCACCTAAGTTTGACCTTGAAAACAGACAAAAAATTTTCCTCGACAGTTTTGCCTAAGGTCTCCCTCAGCTTTTTTGTAACACTTAAACATTAGGATGAAAACTCTGTTTTTTCAAAACACACCGAGTTACATAACATTCGATGCAGTTTTTTTCGTAGATTCCGAATATCGCATTGGTTTTGAATTAAAACTGAAATTTTTCATTTTTTTCGTTCTGCATATACATATTCGTGTTCAGTGCGAAAAAGAGAAAATATGTTTTTTTCTTTTCTCTTTTATTTCTTCCTATATGAGTTTTTTTTCTAATGTATCATCAATATAAGAACATTTAGTTGATTTTCATATTTTGTGATTCCAGTTAGAAGAGGTATTCCCACATACATACTTATAATCTCTTGGTATACACAAAGTTTTAAGCTCTGCCCGAATTTGAATGCTTTCCATTTCGGAAACACGCACAATCCGAGATGTACGAGTATTTAGAACAATTTAATTAAAATAAAAACTCGCTTTTTGACTTAATTAAAAAACACTAAGCTCTATTTGTAGTCTCATTAGATAGTGCACGGAAAATTATACACGTAATGCCATTTTTGACTTTGCATTCAATCCTCTTCGTTACTTTTTCGCTGTTAAACTGAAATTCAACAGAAAACTAATTCAGACCAACATACTTGAAAGGAAAATCAGTTCGGAGTCTTCGATTTTAGCCGTATTTGTCTGTAAATTTATAATCTCGTTGAAAAAAAAACTTTTAGTATTTTATTTGCTGTACAAGTGGTAAGGGACGTGATTAGGAGTTGCAGTCGATGCAGTTTTGTCTGGTGATCTTAATTATGCTATTAATTTCACTTGTAAATATCGGAAGTGAAGAAGACGCAAAATATGTCAAATGAGTGAGGGTAGGCGTGAGAATAACACCTTCACAATGTTTTACTCACGTATTTTTTCGCCATAAGTTTCCATAATTATATTTTTTCATGATTATGGTGGACATTAACCGTAGAACATACGGAAGAACGAGCGACCCTCAACTATATCCTCCTATATATGGTACATTAGCGTCTGCTTCTTTTCAATGGATTTTCGGACCTATACAATAGTTCTAATAGTCTTCACACCTTGGCTAAATAATCTATAGATATTGAAGAGTGTGGTTTGACGGGTGGTTGATGCGGGTTCGACTTCAAAATGATGTTTCCAGACTAAGTAATGAATTTATGATCGGGAGTTATTAGCATTTTACGGAATAGAAATGAAACACTTACATCTCCCGAGCCACGAAATCAAAGAGCCGTCAACTTACGGGATGATCCGCATTCGTTGAGAATAATGGTGGGAACAAAACAAATCTTTACGATAACTGGCAGTTTAATGACACAATATAGAAAAAAATAATAAATTGTCACAATTTCTATTTCATTTTGATTTCAACTGAATTTTAAATTATGCCGATCAAGTAAGAATTATCGAAACACCGAAATATGTATTGCTATTCTGATTTTATTAGCGAACTATTTGTAAAACAACTGCTTATACAAGACGATACTTATAAAATGTATGGAACGGCTTTGGAGAGGGCTAATTAACATTCGAAAAGAGATACTACAACAGAGATCACGTCTACTATTTTATTGGCTTTTTGGATACAAATTTTATTCTCTTCTCGTTCACATGAATTTGCTACCAGTCCGTCCATTATTCAATACGCTAGTTGAAGATTTTTGTGGTTTCAACAATTAATAATGTTATATTCTTCTGTTTGAAGAAAATTGAATGAAATTATTCATCAAGAGCTTTTTTTGAAAAGTTCTCAAAAAATCATACGATCCGATATTTTCCAACAAAATACGACGATTAGCTTCTGTTGATTCCAATGATTGAAATTTATCGGATCCGACACCAGCCGATATAATTTCTAACAGTTTTTGCACCACAGAATCCGAGACGATCTGATTATCTGGTTTTCACCCTGATCGCATTTGTAGGCTTTTGAGCTGTTCTTCATAAAATTAATAAAAATTTGGAATATACAAGAATAAGCAGATACTACTTTAGTTCAGGGTTTCTGATGAGGATTAGAGTTAAAATGTATGGGTGGGTTTTGCGATTTTGCTTAGACCATTGGCATAAAAATTACACAGCAAGTACAAAGAAAATATGAAAAGCCCATTTGACGCTATATTTTTTACATAAACTGGTAAGAACCTGCAAAAACAAAAAAATAAATTAAAAATTTAGAGTGTTCAATGTTTGTTCTCACATGATGTAAAGCAGTGTGTACATTCAATACCGTTAGGGTACTACATACTCTGTTTCAATGGCTACACACTCTTATTAGAAACACTGCTTTAGTTGCATAACAAACATTCAAATCCTCGTCAGAACCTATTTGTAGCCTACTCATTAAAAGTGTTACTCTTCCCAATAACCTGATACTTAACCCTTTCGGGACGGGCGTGGTATATATACCACCTGGAGTATTTCTCAAAATTTGAGGATGATATATGTTTCAAATTAATCAAAAGTAAGTGGACATAGTCTGTTGAGTACTTTTCCAATGTTGGTACAGTAAATTATCAGTATTTCTAAAGTGTCGTAAACATCCACAGTGTATTACGTAGTTTATAACATTACATAGTGAAGTATTCCCTCACTTTATCATACATTCTTTATTTAGATTTTCTAATACATTCTAATACGTCTAGATTGATATTTTTCCTATTCTCCTGTATACATATATATACATATAAGAGCTTTGCGTTCTCTTATCCATCGCCACTTGCCTCAAAAACAGCTGCCCAAAGGAAGTGTCATGTATGCTCTGGTACAATACAACATGAAAAATCAGTCAAATACACAAGACATCAGTGTGAAAGATGTAATGTTGGATTATGTATAACTAATTGTTTTCAAGCTTATTATACCTTAAAATACTTTTGATAATGATTTTTCATTGAATAAACTAATCTATTTTAACTCTAATAATAGGTTTAATTTTTTCAAAAAAAAAACGTCCCGAAAGGGTTAAAATCATTCGTCAAGAAGAATACATGTGATTAATCCAGGAGCAAAATATTGATTTTAACTTCATCGTTAACCAGAAGTGAAGTTCAAATGTCCCTCAACTCGATTATATGTTTTATTTCTAATCATTAGTTTTCTGTTTCATCCATTAAAACCACGTCATATTCAAATATAATTTCAAAGTTAAAGGCAACGTGTTTTGGATAGCGTTTAACGATTGTACAAGAATACCGATCTGAATAGGTGTCCGTCTGTAATTGATATGGTAGTAAAAAATTTCGCTGTAAACGGAGTTTTTTCAACGGAAAAATGAGACGATAACGTTCATTAAGATCTTGTGCACTATTGACTAGAGTTGTATTCGATGCTATACGATACCATTCTGGTTTTTCAAGATCATTAAATATATAAATCGTTGCTAAACCGTAATAAGAGGGTAATGTTGATTGATCAGATGGCGATTCTTGAGAACGAAATACTGATGATGGTGCGTATGTACAACTATTTTCACACACCAGACGTTCGGATTTAAACCAGAACTGAGTGGTATCGCCTTGAGAACTTGATGATTCAATCAAACCTAAAAATGGGAGTACATGTATTAAAATATTGCTAAAATTGTCACATGTATTGTATACCTATACTATAAACAACACCTTGATGTTCAAACGGTTCATTTGGTCCGAGTATTAATCGATTTTCTTCTGGATCAAAATAGGATTTAGGCGAATAGATATGTTCAATAAAACAATACTCTAATAGATCAGTACGATCGTCATCATTCAATAAACAGAGTGTACGACGAAGAAAATTTTTCTTTATTGATTTATCAAATGAAGAACGAACTATTTGACATAAAAGACGTTTATGTTCACCATAAACAGACGATTGTTCCTGCTCATTAAGCATTTTTTTTAACAGAGGGATTAAAATTATTTGAAAATAATATTTCGATAAGCATAAAAACATCATCATATTTAATATATCTTCTAAAAATAAAGAACAATGGGTTAACAGTAAAATGATGGGAGAATCGATTCTAAAATCATTTTTTATACAAAGTATCTCGTTTAGAGTAGAAATAATGCTCGTCTGCAGTTGTGGTAGACCTACACAACAAGTTTATTCTTTATTTTTTTCTATAAATGTATGATGTCTATTTATTCTGCACAAGAGTAAAAAAACAGTAATTATTGATTCTTGAAAGTATCGTCTCTGCTTCACCTTCGTGTATAAGTATTTCCCTTATCATCCGCGAGCAGATCGAGTACCATGTTCACGCGACATTTATCTTTCATATTTTCTGCTTCTCACTTACCTAAATTATCAAAATTAATTTCCATTTGTCCATTTCCTGCTAATGACAATGTTTGATAGAGTAAATCAATACAAAAACGTAAAGTTTCCTCTCGACATTCAAATGTACATTTGTAGACATTTATGTATGCTTGTTGTTCATCATCAAATAAGCTTTCAGGTTGATTGTATTTGAAATATGTTTGAAAATATTCACTCATTACCAACACGGCACGATGACATAGAATTGATATTGACGATGACTTTGTACCTTGTTCAATTAAACATGTGCATATTAATTTACAATCGCAACATATTTTTGAAACGAGAATGTTATCGAATTTTTTATACGTGGTGATAGCAGAATTATACGACATCATAAACAGAATAATATCAAAAGGGAGATGCAATCTGAATATACAAAAAGAGATAGTAGAATCAAGCGAGTTGATGACTTCGTTTGTAGACAACAAAAGTCATTTTGTCGAGACAATCGGTGATATTTACTAAGAAAAAAGGATTAGTGAGATCTGATCGTTTTTTCCAGTATTTCTTGAAATATACAAAAATTATGCCAGAAATTAAGTATTTTTTTATCATAGCTATTTCTAAATGATGTTTCGATAATTCAGAACTTTCTTTGTCTTTTAAAAAGTGGATTGAGTTCATAGTGTGGTATAGAGCTAATGAAAACAAATCACTAAGAGTTCTATTATAGAATAATAAAAAATAAAAAGTAAATCAGAGTTGTATTACGTGACAACATTCTTTAATAAACGTCAGTTTCAAATAGTACAGAATACAGAAAGGGTGTTTGAGTTACAGTTGAAACAGAAATGTATTATTGCAGTTCGTAATAGAAGACATAAAGACGGATTGGAAGTAGAAAATGGCTGGAGTTGTTCAGCATACTCAAACAACGTAAGTCCATGTAAAGCATACCATGAAGTTAAAGAGTTTTTGCTAAAGTGTCAAAACCTTTCTGATTTTCTAGAGTTTGTAGAGTTCTATCAATTTACTCAAATCGCAACACTGACGTTGACGCATGTTCTAAAAAAATCACATTGTACTTTCTCAGTGTAAATAATCCAATTCTGGCATTCTTCACGTACTTTCGACGATCTTCAATGTTGCCCTCGATCTATTTCTAGTGATGCGATGGAATGTACTCGAACGTTCACTCACACATTTCAGTCAAAAAAGAAATTCTCCTTCTCGTTCTGCGTATGAAAGTTCAGATCGTCTGAAAAGACTGAATAGAATGATCAAAAATTTGTACTATGTGCTTGAATAATCGAATGTTCTTCCTCAAATATCCATCTATTTTGAGTATTAATTAGCTTTTTCTAAGTGAACACTGGAAATAATTTCAAAATGTTCATGAAAAATCTACTGAGTACAATATATAGATGGGTAAATCCATATGAAACATACCATCATTACATGCCGCAAACATTTCGGCCAACTGCATTTCGTAGAGCTGAGTCTGGCTACGTGAACCGCCGATCGTGCCCGTAAACAAGTATAAGAACTTTTCTTGTTTTTCCACCGGATTTTACCTAACTTCTATCGTCTTCTGTTAGTCTGTTTGCTAAGATAAATTCTCGTCACAGACTTCAAATGAGAGACCGTCTCAAATACTGTATATTTTGATGGAGACAAATAGTCGCCCCAGCCGGCTGTTTGAGCTGTGGATCTCTGAAAACTAGTGGTATCTCGGGCTATTTCTCTGTATTGTATACACTAAATACGATGAAAATAATCTTGTATAGGTTATTTTTTATGCTGAATTCGACTATCAGACTTACCGAATCTATTTCTGCTGTTGGAATGTGAAACTCGGATGTATGCCTAGGGTTTCTCATTTTTATATAGAACTTTTACCGTTTTTGATACGTAGGAGGCATATTACAATGGAGAACCTTTTATCAAAACTTTTTTACCTACCCCGAAAATATCAGTTCAAACGGATTTTCGTTGGCAATCAAGCATTGAACAGTCTTAACTTTTTGTTTCTTTGTTTATGGGTGTTTCACTCTGACGTTCATATGTTATATTCCATTATGTGTAAAATAAAAGTTTTTGAAAAGCTTTGCTATTTCTCCATTGTAATATACTTCGTATGTCATAAACGGTAAAATTTCTGTATCAAATAGACAATCCAAGAAGGAAGAAAATTAATGTATGATATAAAAATAGTACGGTATTAGATACATCCTGCAAACTTTCACCATAAATGGAAAAAATAAGTTAATTTTTTGGATCTCTTTGCAAAATCAAAGTATTCGTGTTACAAATGACTGTGATTATATATGTGTATATATTAGACACTATTTAAGGTTGATGACTAACACTTGCAAAAATATTTCGAAATGTACAAATGAACAATCGAAGCTTTATCTTTTTAGTCCGTAAAACAGAAAGAAAAATATGAAGATGAACGTGAATAAAATGACGACTGGAACGGACTGAACATATTTGACTTTTCAAATTTAGAAAAGAAAAAGAATGAATATCCATATGGAATAGAAGAAAATGAATGAGCATTCGAGTGTTCGGTAACCGGCATTTCTCGAAAAAATACCGAATTCCATCACATCACTATCTGTTTCTAACTTAAGTTAATGTTTGAAATTTTTCCTCATCACTCAAATAGTAGAGTACATTCTATTTTGAACTGAATAGTAGTAAACAGCGAATAATATTCATTATACGATATATTTTATAAACTTTGTTATTGATAAAACACAAACGATAACTGTTTTCATTAAACCGAGATTTACTACATGTGGATACAAGACTAATATCATGTGGAATAATTATTTGCATAATCTCGTTGGATTCTTTTTATTTTTTAGTTCATCATCAACAGTCAAAAGTCAGTACCCTCCATCTTAATACAGCACTTACGAGGGAACATTCCCAGCTGTCCAACCCCGATTTCTTTCAAACATACATCAATCGATAGCCTATATAGAGATAGTAAAAAGCCTAAAAGGATTCATCCCATGGCTCTTGACGATCCGTTTTTCTGGAAAACCGGTTTTACAGAAACTAAAAGAATAATCAAAATGTTTCTTAATAAGGCATGATTGTAGTCTGGAAATTTCTGATTAAAATGAGACCTCCCCCAGCTCTACATGAACTTTCTTTGCAAAGTTATAGAATTTACAAGAAAGTCTAAATGTTCATTGTCAGCTCCAAGCCACAAAGAAAAAGGAAAAATGATTTTAGGACTTTTCTTATAAATTCTATAACTTTGCAAAGAAAGTTCATGTAGAGCTGGGGGAGGTCTCATTTTAATCAGAAATTTCCAGGCTACAATCATGCCTTATTAAGAAACGTTTTGGTTATTTTTTTAGAATTTCTGGAAAGTGGAAAACTGGTTTTCCAGAAAGCCGGATCGTCAAGAGTCATGGGATGAATCCTTATAGGCTTTTTACTATCTCTACATAGGCTATCGATTGATGTATGTTTGAAAGAAATCGGGATTGGATAACCGGGAATGTTCCCTCGTTAGCCATTGCATCATTACATACGTATACAAAAAGTCACNAAAGCTTTTCAAAAACTTTTATTTTACACATAATGGAATATAACATATGAACGTCAGAGTGAAACACCCATAAACAAAGAAACAAAAAGTTACCGTAATCCAGAGAAGTTGTTTGCTGATTGTTACTGGAATTTATTTTTATGGTCAAGCTTAAGTTATCGAAATATCATACCTTCAAATTGTTGTTCACTGAACTTTTTTTTACTGACTAAATTTTTCTTGTATGATAATTTAGTAATAGCAGTCGCTATAAATACAAGATGATAATCTTTATACGAGACGAAAAATTAATATTTTTCAAATAGGCTGATACAATTTAAAGAAAATAATTTTTTTATTTTTGTATTACAAGTGATTGATACAACAACAAAACGTGTAATTTATATACAATCATGTTCAAGTGTTTCATAATTAAATTTCAATTTATTTAATTGTGTATAACATTTTTCCCATTGTTGATATTGATCAATATTGAATTCAGGAAAGAAGAATTCAATTTCACGTTTAGCTGTTTCAATTGAATCTAAATAATAAGTTATGAAGAATTATCGTTAATCTTAGAGAATTAAAAATCTTACCAGAACCATGTCCAACATTTCTTGTATCTGTTATTCCATACTGACCACGTAATGTGTTTCCAGCTTCAAATATTGTTCTTGAGAAAAACAAAAACAAAAGAGCATACTATCTTATAGCTAACATGCATCTATAGAAAACAGGAGTAAAACTAGTGTGTTTAGGTAGAAAGTATAGGAATAAAATCTAACTATATCCTTACTTAAAAACTTTTGTCGGGCCAAGTAGTGAACGCCATTCTTGAATAGCATTTTCTCGTCCAATTATATGACACGATATTGGGCCACTAGAAGCGAGAATAAAATAAATATAGTATGAAGATGACGATTAGAGTGTATCTACCTTTGCATGTAATAAACAAGTCGATTGTAGAAAAATTTTGCTGAAGAACAAACATAAATCAGTGAGTAATCATACTCAAATCAAAGAAGGTTAATTTTTACTTTGATGTTCTTTATAAAATTCACATGCTTGCTCTTTTGTCAAATGTAAACGTTTTGATCTAACAAATAAAAATTGACGTTGTAAAAGTAAATGAATTATATCCTTAAAAAAAAAATACAGAGAATAATCAGTGACAGATATATGTAGTGAAACACAAGAGCTTGAAAATAAAATTACCGATTACTATAATCATTGTATGTTACAAGCTCTTGCGTGTTTATCAAATAAACACAAACGTACATTAAACAAATGAGGTATGCGAACAATATCCGGTTTTAATATGCATAATGTTAATTGAAACATATAGCGCACACAATCTAGAAACTGAGTAATAATTAATACAACTAGTATCAAATAAATGGTATCTTTGAGAGGAATTTTAAAATTTTTTTTGCAGACATTCTTTTTTTTCTCGTTTATTTGTTAAAGTTGAAGAAAATTTAATGCCTTCTGCCAACATGAAATGAAAGAATAATTGCATAATTAAGAAGGTCCACATTAAACTCTTGCCAGCATTGTATTTCAACGTGTGTTTTTTTCGATTATCGAAGTTTTATTAAATATATATCTACTATAATATATATATGATTATAACAAATTTTAATG